CCCCCCCCCCCCCCCCAGTGTCTGGTCTCGATTATCGTAAGTCCAGGATTTGTGAGACATGGCCAAAACTCGACCGGCCCCTGTGGGATTGACATTCCGTTTGTGACTAGTGGCCCTTCCATGTAAGAATCCGGAGCAGTTATGCGTGGAGGGATGGCCTGCGGCATCTCATTTCTTCAACAATGTGAGCGTGCAAAGTGCCATGGGCATCGACAATCGTATATGGTCTCCCATAGACCTAGAGCTTGAACTAGACTTTTTTGAGACTGGCGCCATGACCCAGTCGGTAATACGACAGGTTCAAAGCTTGTTGGACTCGGGAAAGATCCGCGTACTGGTTATGAATGGTGACTTGGACGCGTTGGTGTAAGTAAAGGTTTTTTCATTCTGCAGCCTACCCATCAGTGAAAATCTCAGCGAGGGTGGAAAGTCTACAGTGAAAGAGTATAGGACAAAGCTAAGCACCTTCTCTCGGTGGACAGCATATCTGCAGGACAAGCTCGCATATTTGACAAATTACCTTGGAAAGGTCAGCTTCACTATCGCCAAATGGCTTGGAAAGAGTGGTCTGTGCCTGGAGATGACGGCCGTTCTTCCCGTGGGCTTATGAAGAATACTTCGTCTCTGAAGTTTGTGAGATTTGAGCACGCCGGGCATATGGTCCCAGGAGATGACCCTCGAGGAGCGTCTGCTGTCATCAACGAATGGATAATGGGTTAGACACAATATCAATTAATACGAATGGTAATAGTCTATATCAACGCCAGAGTGCAGTGCACATCAAGCATGAATCATAGCGCTTGACAGCAATCGCGGTCCAAGTACGGCCCGTCTAAACGTTGAACTATGCATGCATAACTGAATGGCCAACCCGATACGTAGGCGTTGCCACACTGGGATTCGGTGAAGACGCGGTCCGCTTGAGTCCATTATTGATCAATTGACCCATTTGACTAAATATACGGGAAACTTTCTTTTCTCTGGCGATGAATTCGAGCAAGTACTCTACGGAGCAGGCATGGTATCGATGACCTACTAGGTTAGGTACCTATATAGTGAGTGAGGGGAAATCGAGAGGCTTTGACGCTAGATTCTAGAGCACCATTATAGCGCATCTTGGCGGCGGCGGCCTATATACGACCCGTATACGCCCTTGAACCATACACTAGCGATTTGCTGGAGAAAGGACTAATGCCTTCCCCAGGGGATCGCTCGCAGCTGCATCTCAATTTAGTGGTTAACTCGATTTTCCAACCCTTAAAAGAAGCCCGTATCCTCGGATCAGTGCCAATAAACATCGACGCTCAGCTCTGAAGTTCACGCCGCCAATCAGCACGTCACATCCTACTTCCGCAGCCTTGAATATGAATTCTCACCGTGGTTAGGAGCAAGGTTATGTTGGTATTATAACTGCATTTACCAATGTGGACGGCTTTTAGCCATCCAACTCCAGTGTTCCCACGGATTTTCGGCAAGCGCCATGTTGTCTCTAACATACTTGTCCATAATTCCCGAAGATCTGATTCCACTTTGTATAGCCAGCCTAGCATATTTCATTGCAAGCCAAGGCTCTCCTATACCATTGTACTGGAGAGCTGCAAGCGTGTATGCCTCGTCAATAACTAGCCACAATCCCTCTTGTTCATAGAGTGAAATAAGCAGCTCAGCCATCCCTGTAGCTGTCGAAGGCGCCAGTATACCGTTCCTGAGCTGTTCTTGTAGATATTGGATTTGAAGAACCCGTGCGTCTGACACGGCAATCATTTCTCTTTTTTGTGAGCAAGATGGACAGCTGCATTTGAAATGCCAGGACTGCTCCAATTGTTGCGACCGCTCCTCTCTGGTTCGCACCGGACTATAATTGTGCGGGTCAGCGTAATTGACCGAAAGCTACAAGACCTGCAATTGACTCACTCTATGTATGACGTGGTAATTTCTTCGCCAGCGAAAATGGGACGTACGGCATAGACGTTGTGTGTAAATGTATCTATATCGAAATGGTAGCCGGCGTTCGGTCTACAATCGTGATTCATACGTGAAACTATTGAATCAGTAAAAGTCACTATAAAGAACCTGACATTTCGTACTTTTTGTGAATACTGACTTGAATCTGAACTCAGTCAAATTGTCTTGTACCCCGCCCAGAACTTCATCGAGCGATATGTCGAAAGAATTGTATAAAATGATCCGGGATATTCTCTCAGAATGTTCCGTTGTGTGGTAATGGGTGGAGAGATTCAAGTACTCCCGTCGATGCTCTTCAGGTAGGGAGTCGATTGCGCCAACCTCCAAATCGATAAGAGTCTCTGGAACATGTTTGATGAGGTTGCGATCGACCATAATAGAAGCTGTGGAAGCCATAATTCTTTCGCCCGCCTCGATATTTCGAGTTGCAACAAGGGCCATGTCCTTCCCCGTCACTTCCAGTACTTCGTACGCTACATCTTGCTTCATGTCGCGAGCTACAGCCTGCTGCACATTCGCGTCCGAGAATGGCCGAAACTTCTGGATTTCAAGAGCGCGCTCTGGAGTAGTGATAATGCTTATTCCCTTTCCTGCGAAATTTGGATTCGAGAAAATACAATACTCTTCTTCCCCTCGTTTTGCGCAAGGTAGGATGCGCCTCCAAGGCTTTGTCTCCTCGTATGTGTATTCTATGTGGGGTTCGTGATCCCGTCCGCTAGCGAGACACCATGACAGGTCACTTTCGTTTAATAGCTCGATGCTAGAATTGGTATTTGTCGCTGACACAGCATGCTTCCCTAGCAGGCAAAGCATAAATACCATTATGCATTGATAATGCATTGCAAGAATTGATTGGGACAATGCCACTTTCATGAATGACAATCGAACTCCGATGCTGAAATAATTGATGAAGCGCGCTCGATATCTTCATGGATGAAAGTGCACACAATACGAAGGATTTCCTCATCTTATTTAGACTTCAGTATTTACCAGATTAATGAATTTCGGCTACCCCATAATTTTTGACCAACCTAGGTCCCTTTCATAGCTGAGTCAAACAGACCCTTAGTCAGTCAATCGAAGCGGTCGCTTGGTCGGGCCAAAGTGTTTATCGCACTCTTTTATTTTTATTTTTTATTTTCTAGAGGGTAAAGTAAAAATGTTTGAACTCATCAATACGTTAACGACGGGTCAAGGTGTTGGTTTAGAGAATAAATACATTGACAGTCGGCTCACATTCTCTGCAAACCCTAATTGAATCGAGGATGTAAACTTACGCGGATGCTATGATCTTTGAAGTTGTTCACCTGAACTTTTAGAATTTGCAGGATCAGGGTCTTATTACCTGCAGCGAAGACTGCTTGAAATGTCTAATATATTCTTTTTTTCAGATGGCATGACTAAAAACCCAATCATCAATCGCATTTATTTAGGCACCTTATCGTTAATTTGTGTGCTATAGCAAACACAGGCGTATTGGATCTGGCATTTGCTAATACTAATTCGTCTGTCATGACTCATTTTCTCTGCGGTCAGCGCTAAATGTCAGAACTGTTAGAAGCAGTGATTGGGGCTTGGTAAAATAAGTGGTGGACCCTTTTGATTGACTTATTGTGTCGCGTGGGTAATGTGCGTATGTAAAAGAGCAGCACCGTAAGCGAACCCGCGGTTCTCGGGAAAAGTTGGACAGTAACACAATACCAGACTGAGTCAGAATCGTACCAATTGTGGCTAATTATTATCACCTTGTTATGAGTGATATTGAGAAATTTGTTTCAAGTCCGGTAGTCTCAATGCTCAGTCTTTCAACGTCAATTCACAAGGGCTTCCTCTCTTAGATTGTGCCACGGTCGTCTGCCCTCACATCCTCACAATGGAACCCGGCAAAGCGAGCTATATTGAGGTGGAAACCACCATTCCTGTCATTGAAGGCTACCCCTCTCGTATTGAAACTAGTCGTCTGCTCATTCGACCACTGATCTCATCTGACCTGGACAATTTGTGGTCTTTGAGACGCGCAGCTGCAGTTATGAACCCCACAGGCCGCGGAAGACCAGATTCTGACATTGAGGAAACAAAGGAGGAGCTCTCTGCTCTGAGAGGTCCGTGGTATAACTCGCATCTGTATTATGGTATATTTCTCAGAAATCGCGATGGAGTAGAGGGCGACTTGATTGGGGATGGTGGGGTTCGACAACTCTTTGATACAGAGAGTGGTTGGCCTGAATTTGGCTACAAATTCAAGGAAGAATACTGGGGCAACGGTTACGCGACCGAGTTCGCCAAAGCTTTTCTGGAGGTTTGGTGGGGCCTGGCACGTCAACCTTCAAAACTTAGCATTCACCCTGCACTACTTGATCATTACCACTCGCTGAACGCGCGAGAGCAGCTATATGGATGGTCGAGGGTAACCAATAAGGGCAGCGAAGGAGTCCTGCTGAAATTGGGGTTTCGGTATCTTTGTGAGCTGGACAATATGGTGCCCGAGTGGCGAATAGCGTATCAAATACAAAACGAGTAAAGGATGCTCGTTTCCATAAGAGCTAGCTGGTAGCAACTCAACTGATCGCATCTCCAATACGCCAACCTAAACACACTGCTTGCTGCATCGGAAATCAATGTAAAAAAGTAATTTGCCTTATTGTTTCAGGAGGAAGTATTTGGCTTTTCTATCACACATGAATTAGGAACGTATAAAAAGGAAGAAAGAGGGGTGCGAGGAAGAATTTGATCAGTTTACGAGTTTCGTAAGGCATCAATTAGGACTATCGTGATGTTTTGGTGCTCAAGTAGAGAACTAGGTTCAAAAGGTCTGATCGATCCGCGCCTAAGTAACTAAGGCTAGACATTATGCCGCTATCGCTTGACGACGTCCCGTGCAAGCACTGACCGGAGTGACCTGAACATGGCAAATCACTGGATTATCGCAACTTAGCCAATGGACCGAACGCATCATGGTAGGCAGTATAGCTCGACATTAGGAATTGTTGTAGGGCGGGGGTACGGCCATAAGGCAATGCTCGGGGTGTAGCCCCACTGCACTGTTACTGACCATCCCTCGCTGCAATCTTCATTCCGCCCATCATCCATCATTGACCGTCATCCGCCATCAAGCTTTCAACGTTTACATTTCGCGTTGTAAGAGTAGCGTAAAACCAAAAGACTGGTTTCTCAATCGGTTCAGACACGCTCTCATTGTCAGAGTGCTAACTTTGCTCCAGACAACCTTGAGGTCAAAGAAACTCCCCACCTGCTGGAGTTGGTGACGACCCCTCATGTAACCAAGTGGCCGAATTCGCCAACTGAATGCAATGTATGGCGTCGTTGCCAAAGCCAATACTAAAACCCACTTATATATCGAAGTCTCGACAAGTACGTCGCTGATGCAAAACCCGCCCTCCCTCCCCTCCATCCCTTTCCTATTCGAGTGGCGGTGTAATCTTGTTCCCCAAGAATGGGTCCTCGTCGGCGGTATAAACATAGTTACCTTCTGCGTCGAGTGGATATGATTTGCCTATAGTTTTAAGTCCATTAGCGATAATTGGCAGGCATATAGTTTCACGGCTTTATTGACTACTCACCAAGGAAAGGATGAACCAATGTGACATTGTCATATATATCGAAATGGCGGTCTCGCGCCCAGTTGTTCACTTTGTCCCAATTGTAACAGCTGTGTTCCGATCGGAAATTTGTCAATGGCCTCCGATTGTTATCTACCCAGTCGTAGGAACCGAGCGAAATGTCGGCCTTGCACATTAAGGTTAATCGGATATCTAGTGCAGTAATTAATCATTCCACTCTTCGTTGCGCTGCCGCCGCCGCCGGGGAGTTCTAAACTTACTGTCGATGCAGTGATCAAGGTGGTCTTCCAGGTGCCTCTGAAGTTTGACATTGCCCTTGAAATAGTAATCGGGATACAAAGCCTGCCTCAATAGTTTGAGACAGTGAATTTGGTGATGTACGTTCAGTCCACTCCAATAGTATTCTGTGAGATGACCAGACGCATCCGATAAACGTACAGACGTCCGGTCGATTTTCTTGAGATCCTCGGCCTTGATTCTCAGATTGCTATATGCAACCAGCTGGTTCCATGCGGCATCCAACTCTGGCGACGGAGGGCCTTTGTATACATTCTCATCTGTCCCAACCTCGTTCCAGAAGAAGACCTTTTCGGGCTGCAACGCCTCACGAGCTGGGGCTGGATTTTGTTTTCAACAATTAGTATGATAACCAATGCGCTTGTTGAGTAAATACTTACACCATACCATGGATTGATCATCCGCGCATTGATGATACTCTTGGGAAGAGACCGTGATTGTCAGAAATAATGCGCAGTAGAAGGCGAGACAAATACAGTGGACCCAGAGCCACGGAAACCGGCGAACGTGACCACCTGCGGGGTACGTTGAGGTTTTATCGAGCAAAGTGTCTTCACTTCCAGAGTCCGTTTCATCGTGGGTGTCTATACCGCTATAGATTGGTGGTTTCAGGCGTGAATAAAACCAGACCGATAGCCGCTGCATACGAGTAGCGGCCATTTCGTGTTGTTGAGTATGCTCGCAATTGATCCAAACGGAACAGCAAGTGCCACGCTGCTTGATGAGTGGACTATACTCTTCACCAAACAGTACACCAAAACTTGTAATATCCAAGATGGAAATGGAAGTTTTAGCAAAGGGATTACATCCGTGCGGAAGTGTTGACTTCATGGCCACATGGCCTAGACGGATATTTACGGTAAAGAACTTGTCTTGATTCGTCATGATACGTATGAGTCAGTGGTACATAATATATGAGTAAGCCCGCCATCAAGAGAAAAATGTGGCATTAGGAGTGGGGAATTAGTCATATTAGAGTATAATTATTCACAAGATAGAACTTCGCTATGCATAGAATCATCTATTATATATAGAGAATTTCTAAACACTTATACGCACGTACTCTACCATCCAGTCTCTGTCACAACTTCACTAAAAGTCTTACAAAACAATTCTACCCTTGCGTATTTTTTTCGTCTCGCTATAAACAATGAAGCCTACATCGATTTTGATCCTCAGTAGCGCGCTAGTCGCATTGGCGTCGCCTTTGAATCGTAAGTAAGGACTATGCCTCATCAGGTGTGGCTTGAATCTCAAATAGATTTTGTGTATATATTGATTTTGTGGTAGCCAGCAATGCCGTACTGAACCAGGATGATGCCAAGGCCTACAAGCGCAGCGCTGTTCAGGAGGCTCAGGATGATGCGAAGGCTTACAAGCGCAACGTCGAGGTAGCCCAAGACGATGCGAAGGCTTACAAGCGCAA